ATAATTCTATGACATCTTGGTATTTATTTTGTATGGTTTCCTTTTTGTGTTAAAAATGTAAGGCATATAATGTACCATACGTGTGGAAGAAAGGGATGGAAGATAGGATTAGGGATTCTCGAGGTACACATCTTGTGGAGAGAGGGCTCCTTTGTTTCAGCCTTGCTGGCTCCTGAGTGTGGGGAAAGGGGGAGAGAGAGGTAAGTGGGGTGTCCTAGGAGCTGAACTGGCTCCAAAGTGAATATTGGAATCGAGGCAGCTCTCTATGGTGGTCTGGTTCCTGAACCAGGTGGGTCTGCTGTACTCCAGGGCACTGCTGATGACAGTGCAGCCAGCCTGGCTCATCGGCAGGACTTGGAAGGATAGACCAGTTACTAGGGGCAGGGAACCATTGCTGACCGGTTTTCTGTACACGTCGCGGACATGTCTGCTCATGTGAATCGTGATGACAGGATGTGGAAGAGCTGACCAGCCCTGTTGATCATGCTCCATTATAAGGCAGGTTAGAATTCTCTTCTTTCTAAACTACTTCCTTATAATCTTTGCTTATCCTACCCTCTTTGCTTAGTTGCCCTTTAGAGGTGGGTCTCAGCCAAATAGGGGTCGTCCCCCTTCCGATTCCTGAGGACTGGGGAAAGTACAGCTTCAGTTAAGTGTCTGAAAACATTGCTGTAACTTGTGAGGACTAAATGCTCTATCTGTAAACTCTTCATTGGGAGCCAAAAAATCTCTGACGTTTAGGCAAATTGCACAGCACGTTTTTTCTATAGTAGATTGAAAATATTTTGAACAGAAATTGTTCTTTCAGTTGCAGTACTTTTTTTATTCCTGCTTTGTATCACCACGATTATTGTCCCCAGAACATTTTTTTCCTTTCAAGGGGCTTTGCACTGTTCTGGGTTTGAAATGCTGTTTCTATTTAAGGCAGAAATCTCTAGGGGAACCATCTTTTTCCATTGTGTTGTAGTTTAGGTAATTGATCTCTGAAACGAGTCGGTGAACATTTTCTGCTCTGAAGCTCAGGCTTATATAAGAAATGAGGGATGGTACACAGATTACTTTAAGGCCTTTGATACCCTCTAAAACCTCAATTCATAAAACTCTGTCACAAACAATGAAGATTTCCAGAGCCAGTAAAGGCTCCCTTCACTCTGCAGGTAAAAGCATTTGATTTTGTAATTGTATTCTAAATTGTCATTTTGAATTGACAGGGCATTTAGTCTTTGTAACTCAGAGCAGGGAGACTTACAGCACATTCCCCTAATAGGACATTGCATTTGTGCAAGTCTTTATATTCCCAGTAACTGCTCTATCCGGCTGGCCAAACTCCTTCAATTGGAAAGAATAAGCGCTTGAAAGAATGGTATTACATGGCACACAATTCTCTAATCCCTATCCTGTTTGTGTTTAGGAAAAGTGTGATTAATTCAGGGACATGGAAAATGTGTGGCCATGCTGCCAATTTATAAAGAACTCAAGCAAGAGAAAGTTTGTGCTCCTACTTTAGTAGATGATTTTTCTCAGTCAAAAATATTGGATTTGGTTTTAACAGAAAACCGGTTGTATTCTGGATTTTATCATATGAAAAATAATAATAATAATAATCCTTGCATTCGATATAGCGCCTTATCACATCTTCGAGACATCTCAAAGTGCTTCAGAGAAGATACTGTAAAGTGAGTTGACTATATTTTGTGTGCGAAAAAAATGGGATAGGCATGAGAAGAGTATATACAGAAAGGCATAAACACTACAGTAATAGAAGGATTTTACAGATCCAGGAATAAAACTTGTACTGATCGTGACTTTTCCATTATCTACTTTCCTTATCTTGGATTCCAATCCACTTTAGTCTTCTGAAGGAAGGATTTCCAAACTTCCCAGCAATATTCAGTCCTCCATTATTCAAACCTGACTACCTGTTTTCCATAATTGTGTCAGCCTGGCTCAGTTGGTAGAATTATCAGCTCTGAGTCAGAAGGTTGTGGGTTAAAGCCCCACATTGAGACGTTTGTACTCGGCTGACATTCCAATATTGTGCTGGGGATGCGTTGCATTGTCTGAGGTGCTGTCCTTTGCATGTAACATTAAACTGAGGTACCGTCTGTCTGTTTAGGTGGACATTAAAGATCCCGTGGCACTACTCAAATAGAGAAGGGAGTTCCTCCTGGTGTCCTGTCCGACCAAAGAAAATTGATCATTCAGCCGGTCTGTGGTAGCACTCTTGCATCTGAGTGAGAAGGTTGAACATTAAACCCCACGTCAGGACTTGGAATCGCATCGTCTTATTTTAATGCTCCAATGCAGTTCTGGGAGGGTGTTGCATTGTTGGATGCGCCGCCCTTTGGATGAGATGTTAAATCAAGGTCTTATCTACCTTTTCAGGTGGATGTATTCATTAACACTACGACACAATTTGAAAAGAGAAGGGAGTTTCTCTGTCCTAGTGTCCTTAGCCAACAATCCTCCAGGTACAATTGATCATTCACTCCATGGCTGTTTGTGAGACACTGCTGTGTGTAACTGACTGCCACGCTTTGCCCACAAAATATACCGTCACTACACTTTACAGTACATTCTGTGAAGTGCTTTGAGAAATCTAAGTGCTGATAAGGCTCCATCAAATGCAAGGATTATTATTATATTATTCACTTTGTGGCTGTTTGTGGGTCATTCCTGTAAGCAAATGATTACCTTGTTTGCCTACAAAATACACAATCACTATATTTTACAGTGCATCCGCCTTTAAGACATCCTCTTGTTATGAAAGGCACTGCACCAAATATAAGGATTATTATTAATATATTAATAATAATAACTGTCTATTTGGCAAAGAAACTGACATATTTGCAGATGATATGAATAAGGTTAAAGGTATTATGTATATGTATAATACCTTTAATTTTAGGTGTTTTAACTACTTTTCGTCAACATTACATGACAATAACAGATTTAAAGTTGGGTGTGGGTCTAAAATTATAATGTATATTTATAATGTGCAGAGTTTACAAGTGTGTTAATTCTGTTCTACTGGCAATTCCTCATTTTTCCAAATTTGTCTATACGAATTGCAGGTTTTTAATCTGTGCATTGTTCTATTAAATCCATGCAATTACTTGATATTCTTTGCATAATGGGTAGTTTTTCCTGTTTATCGTGTCTTCAGTTGACTTAAGCCTGACACAATGCCAGTCAGTTTGCATAAACAGAACAAGAACTTGAGTTATTGAAAATAAGTTGGGAATGAATTGAAGATTTGTGTGAGAGGCCCGTTGATATGTGTACAATCCATCATCTGTACCAATCTATTTGCACATCTGCAATTTATCTCAAACTCTATCCTGTATTTAATCTTGCACTGTATTTCAGTTGTAAAGCAGACCAATTGATGTGGTTTATTCAAGTGATGTTCTTTTTATTCTATAGGGTAAATAATTAGTGGAATAAAGCATAATCATAGGAAACTTTGCTACACTTTCATTTGATAAATTAACAAATTTATGGTGCAAATCCTCACTGTCCAGCACCTTGGGATGTCCTCTTGGTGTGAAAGGTGCTATGTACAGTAAACTCCTGTTAATTTGACCCTGCCTCAACATGTCACAACCACTTAAATCATCATGCTGTCAATATCCCAGCTGCATTAACTTATGTATTTATATGTATGCTTAACTCGCCACTTCAGATAACTCGTCATTGGGCCCTTTTCCCTTAGAATGATGAGTTATCAGTAGTTTACTGTAAATAAATGTTTTTGTTGTTGGAGTCTTGCACGGGGTTCTGGAGACTGTACTCCAGAAGTGTGTCCTAGCATTGCTAGAAGGTACAGTGAAGGCTGACTGAATTAATCCATGAGATTGAGTATCTGAGGTAAGAAGAGTTTCCTGAAGCTTAGAATGTTTTACTTTGGTCAGCCGGGTGTCTGACTTATCGAAGCCCATCATTATGTTTAAGAAAATTTCCTGATGTCTGAAATGGAAGGTGCACTCTCTCCCTGGAGTGACATGCCCTGTATTTTTCACATCCTGGAGACATTTTCCATACCCTCAAGGGTACAGGAGTCCTGTAGTGTAGTAGTTAGAACACTTGTCCTCGCAAGCAAAAGGATCCAGGTTTGATTCCCCATACGGGCAAAATCTTAGGCGAATTTCCTTACTCCACACGCCTCTGTTTACTAGCAGTAAGTAGGAACCCGGTTGTTATTCGATTAGAAGATTGCTTTTCGGGGGTAATAATCCCTTCAAAAAAAATTTGGTAACTCAATCCACAATTGTTTGTGGGACATTGCTGTGTGCAATTGGCTGCCGAGTTTCACCCACAAAATATACAGTTAATTTTACAGTATATTCTGTAAATTTCACTTTCCAGTATATTCTGTGAAGCGCTTTGAGATGTCTCAACAGTGTAATAAGGCGCTATATGAAATGCAAGGATTATTATTATTACAGATCAGCTCCAATATCCTCCAATATGATCTCAAATCGAGAAGATGAATGGGCATGTTAGACTTGACTTTACACAGTGGGTGGTTAACATGTGGAAATCAAGATGATGAGGTAGAGTGGATAGTTTCAGGAGTGATCAGATAACAATTTGATTACAGAGTGGATTAGGGAAATATGTGAAGATTTAAAAATCAGATTGTGCAAATGCTGAACTTGCAAATTCTTGTTCCTATTAAACATCCCAGTAGTTTCGCCCACAAAATAGTCGCTGCACTTTACAATATATTCTTTGAAGCATTTTGAGACGTCTCAAGAACATGATAAGGCGTGATATCAAATGCAAGGATTACTATAAGTATAGTCAAAAGTTACAGCTCAGGATTCTAGCACAAGCATTTGATGCTGCACCTCATCCTTTCATATGTGAAAACTCCACACAATCAAAACATAAGATCTTCATATTCCATTGTCTTTAAACAGTGAGACTAATTTTAAAGGGGCAAATTAAGCAAATATTAGAACTTCATTTTCAAATTGCCTGTTTTCTATTTGCAGCTGATCGGCGGCCTTATCCTGTGCATTGGCATATATGCAGAGATTGAAAGACAGAAGTACAAGACGTTGGAAGGTGCCTTTCTGGCCCCCGCTATAATCCTGATCTTGCTGGGGGTGCTGATGTTCATCGTCTCCTTCATTGGCGTCCTTGCATCTCTGAGGGATAACTTGTCTCTTCTTAGAGTGGTAAGACGATATTTGTAACCTTACAACAGTTCTAGAACAGTTAACATAACCACTAATGTAAACTAACTTTGGAACCAAATATATCTGCAAAGAGCTATTCATTTATCAGTGTCATTTGATGTCTCAGTCTTTTGCTCCAAAAACACTTCAGTGATTTGTTCAGTATTGTACGGAAAATCAACACATCATCCAGAAAACATTTGTCTTCAAATATCATGTGTCAACCTGGCTTAGTTGGCAGCACTTTCATCTTTTGAGTTTTTGAGAAGATTGTGGGTTCAAGACGGAAGTTTGAAATGATATCATCCAGGCTGATATTCTGAAGCAATGCTGGTGGCGTGGGTTAATTGTTGGAGGTGCTGTCCTTCAGATGAGTCTTTAAATCAACCCCCATCTGCCTGTTCAGGTGGACATTAAAGATCACATTCAAAAAGAGAAGCATTAATCAAAAAGAGAATAATAATAATCATTGCATTAGATATAGTGCCTTTCACATCATCATAACATCTCAAAGCGCTTCACAGGATATATTGTGAAGTGGACTGTGTATTTTCTGAGCATAACGGGGCAGCCAGCTGCGCTCAGCATTGCCCCACAAACAGCCATGGATAAAACAAATTTTATTTGGGAAATTGTTGGTCAGAACACCGAGAGAGAGAAACTCCCTTTTATTTTCGAATGACACCATGGAAACTTTAACATCGACCTGAACAGGCACAGACAGGAGCTCAGTTTAATGGCTCATTCGTAGGCGGCACCTCTGACATTGCAGCGCTCGCTATCCACGACCTCAGAGCATAAATAGCTCAAATGTCCTGGTTTACATTGATGGCAGAAAGCAGAAATGTGTTAAAGAATGGAATCTGTTGGAAGACTTTGTACTTTCTCCCCTCTTCCTCCCAGCATTCTTTCTCTCCTCTCCTCGGCAGTGGCTCACTCTGGTTTATGGTTCTTGGTTGTGCCTTTTTTTGTTTAAGCCTGGATTTTTTTTTGCAGGGATATAATACCCAGATAGCTTAAATAAATATTTACTTGCAAGAGCAGTTTGGATGAAGATGGCCTTTCAGCCCATTTGATCTAACCCTTTCAGAATACCCACCCTCCCAGCTTTCCATGAGAGTCGCATTATTTTAGAAATCCTGTTATAATGACTTAATGAAAGGCTATTAGCATGCAGGACATTATAGCCCAATATCGAGTGCGGTGAAGCATTTCCATTACAGAGCACCATTACCTGACTCTGTCCTCAAATATATTTTCCAGCAGAGGTCAATAGATAGCCTTCAGAAGCAAGGTCTCACAGAGTTTTCCCCTCATTGAGACACTGAGGCCATTTGCGGTACTCCCATTGTTGCCTGGCTGAGAGCTAACAGAACAAAGCAGGGTTGGACCCTCGCACCTTTTGGTTCATGTGACCCAATGGAACAGAACATGGCTTAAATCCTCACTGAGCTAATGGGGAAATGAAACTGTAGGAGCTTTTTTAAAAGTAGTAGGTGAGTTGTCGATGTATGCGTATTTAAAATATTGAAGTTGTATTTCAATGTTGGTTAGGTTTCTCACACTGCTTGATCCTCTCAGAGAGAGAACTATAGGGATCTGGGAGACTCATGCTTTTAGATCCACTAGTAATTTTGACTGGAAAATGAGACTTGTTTTGTGTTTGTGTTTAGTTTCTCTACACGCTTGCAATTGTGCTGATGCTGGAGTTGCTGGGTGCGATTGTGGCACTGATCTTTCGGAACAAGGTAAAACTTTTCAACGCTTCCTAATTAATAATATAAGAAGAATTGGTACATTTCTCTTGTGTGCTTTACAAACGACAATTGCTTTGAAATGAAATGAATGTTATATAGGCAAAAATGTCAGCTGATCTCACCAGCAACTTGCCACAGGCAATAATCCTTACATTTGCATTTTGCATTTGATATAGCGCTTTATCACGACGTTGGGACGTCTCAAAGCGTTTTACAGGATATACTACAAAGTAGAGTGATTGCGCATTTTGTGGGCGAAACACGGTAGACAGTTGTCACAGCAATGTCCCACAAACACCCATGAAGTAAGTGACCAATTTTATTTTGGTGGGGGACTGTTGGCCAGTACACCGAGTGAGAAACTCCCTTCTCTTTTCAAATGCACCAAGGGATCTTTAATGTCTACCTAAACAGGCAGATGGGACCTCGGTTTAACACCACATCCGAAGGACAGTCCCTCTGACAATGGAACACACACCCAGCACTGCATTGGAGTATCATCTTAGACTATGTGATTTCAAGTCCCAACGTAGGTAGTTAGTACTGGGTTAAAAGTGATATGCAACAAAAAGATACTTGGCAAAGCTGAACCGTGTGGCTGTGAGATTGAGATCACAAGTGCTTACTCCTGTCATCGGACACAAAGCGGAAAAATAATCAATTTTCTGGCACTGTCAAACACGCAGTCCAACTCTGAACAAATTAATCGCACTATTTGTATATTACACACCTTATAGTATACATTCGTACATCATCCATAATCCAAATTGTTACTATCTTTAGACAGAGGGTGTTTCCCAATTGGTTTGGATTAACACAATAAAGTTCACAAATTTGTTTGGAATTTTGTTGAAAAGCCAAGACTTATGCTGGAATGAATATAATTGATAATTTGTAAGACTAGTCAACAGGTGAGTATGCGGAATAATATTCAGCCTTTAAATGTCATTTGGGGTTTGGACACGGAGTACATTACAGAGTCTGCTGCTGCTGCCTCAGTCTCCATCTTGTTCAGGACAGACAAGTCTGCACTGTTTCCTAGGAGGCACTTGTTTGGAAGAAAAACTCTGAACTAAATGAGATATCCAAGGATTTGATTTATACACATGGCTGTCTGGAGTCACATTCCATACCAGGAGGTATTAAGTCTGTTTGAGTCAAGTACTCATTTTAAACTTACACCTGGAAAATCCCGGTCATGTTTACACCAGCCGAATCCCACTATACTCAGCTGACTTCAGCCATATCTTCACGGCCCTCGTCCCCTGTACTCCGTCATTGGCGACTGGGCTTTCAGTCACTATGCCACCCTAGAACTCTGCAATTCCCAGCATCAGTTTCTCTGCCTGCCACCCTATTCCCATCTCAGATCACACCTGAAGCCCTTTTTTCTTTGACCGTGCCTACAGTCACCTCCACTTTCTTCCTGGTTTAGGGTCAAACTACGCCATTGTTAAGGGGTCAGCTTAATCCAGATACTTGATTTTCTCCTGAGAAGCCCACTGCTCCCCTGTTATAACTATAGCATTAGTCATTTGAAGTTTGTTACTTGTACATGCTGAGGGGTGATGGGAGTGCAGGTTTTTGGGAAGATTACCCTTAATGTCTCAGAAAATGCAGCTCACCTATTGGAACTGCTGCCACTGTTCAAAGGAAAGACACACACAAGTAATGCTTCAATGGGGAATGGAGATTGGCTGCTGATGGCTGCTCAGTTACTTCTACACTGTGTCGGGTAAGACTCCATCCAGTTGCAGCATTGGAGGCTGTTGTTATTGTTAGTACAACTGATCTGCGTGGACTGGGTTGGGTATAGATTGGACATGCAAAATGATTGCAGTAGGAATGGTTCACAAATGCCTGACTTCACAATCCCCATGGGGATATAAAGTAAATGAAGCACTTCATAACTGAGCCAAGTTCTAGGACCCAGCACTGATTAATGATTACCAGCACAATCCATTCTGAAAGTACAAGATGTGAAGAGGAGGTTGCAACACAGATACCGAACATTGAAATCAGTGTGTGTATCTTGGGAACTGCATTTCCACATCGGTCATTAAAAACAGTTTTGGAAATGTGCTTAAGGTAATGACCTTAGTATTCTGCCCCCAAAAGTGACACTCTCTATGGGGTATGTAAATACAGATATAAAAGACTTGCACTCACAGGGAAGCAATGTATTAAAACTGTACAATTGTTTTTGCTTAATTGGGCTGGATGTTTAACCGCCCAGAAAATTGAGCATTTTTCTGCTTTGTGTCCGATGACAGCAGTGAGCATGTCACGATCAGCAATGTGTTCTTTTTGTTGAATCTCACTTTCAATAATATTAATTCTTGCATTTGATATAGCGCCTCAACACGTCACTGAGATGTCTCAGTGCGCTTTACAGAATATATTATAAAGTATTGACAACAACGAATTACGCAGCAGCATATTGTGAATAGTCTCTCTGGTCTAAGTTATCAATTGTAACTTGATAGTGACTTTAAGCATGTCAGCTATGCTCCATTGGAGCACTCGTGCCTCTGGGAGAGAGAAGGTTGAATTTGACAAAGGTTCGTGGACCCTAAACTTTGACTCACTTTCCTTTCTCCATAGATGTTGCCTGACCTGCTGAGTGTTCCCAGTGACTTCTGTTTTTGAATGAATTGATAATCATTTCAACTTTTTCAAAATGTTTTAAATTCTCTCTTTGCTGTTTTCCAGACGCTAGACTTTTTGAACGACAACATTCGTAAAGGCATAAAGAATTATTATGATGACTTGGACTTCAAAAACATCATGGATTTCGTCCAAGAGCAGGTGTTTGCATTATTTAATCCTCAGCAGTTCCTGCAGATTGTGAGCCGTCTGTTTCATGATCTCCCCTAAAGTTGGATTTCTCATGGATTAATTCATCTTGTGGAGTCCCGTAATGTAGTGATTAGCACGCTAGCCTCACAAGTGAGAGGACCCAGTTTTGATTCCAGGGCAGGGCAAAACATCAGGCAAGTTATCTTACTCCACTCCTCATTCTCAGTGACTTGCTGCAGAGCGCAATATATAAAGCAGGTGCAATTTCTGTGATTATTGCCTTACATACTTTTGAAGAGTAAGTAGATTTCCCCATCAATAATAATAATAATCCTTGCATTTGATGTCACATTGTTGAGACGTCTCAAAGAGCTTCACAAGATATACTATAAAGTATGAAGTGTATTTTCTGGGCAAAACACAACATCCAGTTGCTCACAGCTGTGTCCCACAAACAGCCATGGAGTGAGTGACCAATTTTTTTTATTTGGGGGGATTGTTGGCCAGGACACTGGGAGAAATTCCCTTCTCTTTTTGAATATTGCCATGGGATCTTTAACATCCACCTGAACAGGCAAATGGGGTCTTGGTTTAACATCTCATCCAAAGGACGGCACTTCAGACAATGCAACACACCCCAGCACTCATTGGAATGTCAGTTTAGATATGTGATTCCAAGTCCAGATTGTGGGACATTGCTGAGCGCATACTGGCTCTTGTGTTTTGCCCTCAAAATACACAGTCACTCCCATCTTACAGTATATCAAATGCAAAGGTTATTATTATTGTCTCCATTTTTTAGTGCTCTACCTTGATTATAGTCCAACAAATATAGGGTGCTGTTTCAACTTTTAAATTGCATAGTATAAATTGGTCTTTGGTTCAACAAATGGAAGTCGTGTGTTATTTCCCTCTACAGAGCCACCATATACGTAAGTCAGTTCAGACGTTTACTTGTGTGTCTTTTTTTCAGTTTAAATGCTGTGGTGGTGAAGATTATTTGGACTGGAAGAAGAATCAGTATCACAGTTGTGATGGACTAACTTCTGGTCCGTTGGCATGCGGTGTCCCTTACACATGCTGTATCCGCAACAAGGTACGGCTTTCTGTTCTGTAATGTGCTATACACTTCCAACTTGGAAGTATACAACTTGGAAGTGGAGTCCTGTAGCTCAGTGGTTAGAGCGCACACCTCGCAAGGGAGAGACCTGGGTTTGATTCCCGGCAGGGCAAAGCTTTGAGCAAATTTCTCACTCCACACGCCTGATAATAATTCCTCAAGAAAAAAAAACAGTAATAATTTGGTCATTCAATCCACAACTATTTGTGGGACACTGCTGTGCGCAATTGGCTGCTGTGTTTCACCCACAAAATATACAGTCAATTCACTTTACAGTAATTTCTATGAAGCGCTTTGAGACTCTTAAGACATGAAAAGTGCTATATCAAATGCAAGGATTATTTTTTATTATTAACTTGCTGGGGTAGAGTGTGGGTGTACAATTATAATAATAATAAAGTGACATTTGACAAAGTGCCTTATCACGTCTTTGAGACGTCTCAAAGAATATACGGTAAAGTAAATTAACTGTATATTTTTAGGAGAAACACAAATTAAACGATATTTTAACCTTTTGTCTTCTGCTGATAATTCTCATATATGTAAATAACGTATGAAAGGGCTGCAGTAAATAATAATGATCCTCGCATTTACATTGTGCCTTAGCATGTCATTGAGACACCTCAAAAGTGCTTCACAGAATAGATAGCAGAATAGTAGTTTGTAGGATTCACATTATTTCAAGGTCAGTGGGTTTATTGAAGCTGCAGCTAGTACCTTGCTGCAGATTGTCCAACATAATCGCCAGCTGAATGAGCTCCTCTGTCTGGCTGCCAGATGTGGTGCCTAATAGGCTAATCGGGTTTGCAGGTGTCTCACTGGTGGAGCCTTCATGCAGCAATGGAAGCTACAGATGGGTCTGTGGCTAGTTTTTTCCTGTACATTGAGAAGAAAAAAACAGAAGATCTTGTTTGGAAATGTTGATATAAAGATTCGAAGTATAAAACTCCAGGATAAAACATTCTCTCAATTAGCTTAATACTTTGAGAAATTGTGGAGTGTTTCTGCAGCCAACTTGGTTGGTTTTTTGTGTGTCTGTAAATGTGCATACGTGGAGGCGGTGGGTGGGAGACAACAAACCGGTTAGCCAAGTAACGGGGCGACCCAAGGAGTGGAGTAGGAGGAGATGCTGGAACATGAAATGCAGGGATGAATGTTTGAAAGCCTCCGTCTCCATCTATGGTGTACCATAATAATATTAATAATCCTTGCATTTTAATAAAGCGCCTTATCACGTCTTCGAGACTCTTTGAAGCGATTCACAAAATATATTGTAAAATGAATTAACTATATTTTGTGGGCTAAAAACGGCAGCCGATTGTGCACAGCAGTGTCCCACAAGGTGTTAGTGACTATATTATTATTTATTTCTGTGTATTATTCATTCTACTATTTATTTATTTAATTTTGAAGGTATTATTACCCCCTAGAAAAGCAGTCTGCGAATTGACTAACAACTGGGTTCCTACTAGGTAAAGAGGGACGTGTGCAGTAAGGAACCTTGCCTAACCTTTCGCCCTGCCCAGGAGCTGAACCCAGGTCATCTGCAAGGCGAGTGCTCTAACCAATACGCTACAGCACTCCATGTGTGGACCCTGTGCGTGAGCTGTTCTTGCTGACCCTGAGCACCCAGCACAGCTTCAAGTGCATGAGGGTTGGATGTTTTTGCTATTATTTCTTGGCATATTGTAGTCTTTTGAATGATTGTGCAAGATTCTAGGATGTAGTTACAGGGGTGGGGTGCTTCTTCCCTTTGATTCTGTGCCAAATCAGATCCAAACAAATGGTTTACAGGCTGTGAATCTGTGTGTGGTTTGATGGATTTTACATTGCACTGCTTTTTAAAAAATTATGCAGTAACTCCACTATATGGGTTATTGAGTTCCTTTGCTTTTCCTGACAGAGCATTCAGCCTCCTCACTCCAGCAATACTAATGGCATTTCACAGCAAAAATGAAATGACAACTGTATTGGAGTCCCATAGCATAGCGCAAGCGAGAGGACCCGGGTTCGATTCTCGGTTGTGGTGAAACCCTAGGCAAGTTTCCTTACTCCACATGTCTCTGTTTACCCAGCAGTAAATTGGAACCCGGTTGATAGTCGATTGGCAGATCGCTTTCTTGGGGTAATAATCCCTCAAAAAGTTGAGGTCACTCAATCCCCGACTGTTTGTTTGACACTGCTGTGTGCAATTGGCTGCCGCATTTCGCCCACAAAATACACAGTCAATCCACTTTACAATATATCCTGTGAAGTGTTTTGAGACATCTCAATGACGTGATAAAGCACTATATCAATTGCAAGGATTATTATCACTATTACCTCACCATAAGCAAAGGAAATCTATTTCTTGGCCTATGCCAAACTATGTCTAAACTCTCTGAGATCAGGCAAGCAGGACATATCCCTCTACGGAGAGGGTGGACACTCTCTATCAGACAAACAGAAACCATATATACTTTATGTGGAATTCTTAGTAACTAGGTGTGGTGCCCCTATACATACAGTGATTGAGTTTACGTACATGTTAGTAATTTAATAGAAATCAAGTTGAAGATTTTTGCATGCTAGATGCTTGAGGTATTAATGAAAGTGAGAATTGAATGTTCTGGTGAGCTGTCTGCTTGCATGGGAATGAAGCTGTTCTGCAAATGCTCTTTTCAATTTTATTTAACAAATGAACTAATGGATTCTCATAAAGATAAAATGGAACAGGAAATTAATGGTTGTCACTTTTACCTTGGCTGATTGATAACCGACAAAAGTTTGAGTTTGTTGTTGTGCAGCAGATGAGATTAGAACCCTGGACTAAGGTGTGGAATTTATACCAAGAGTCACAAGATGTTTGTGGGATATTCCTGTATGCAGTTGGGCTGCCATGTTTCCCTACAAATACACAGTCACCCCACTTAAGAAACAGTAAATCCCGTGAAGCGCTTTGGGACATCTTCCTGACATTAAAGGCTCTGTATCAAATAATCAAGGATTATTGTTACTGTTAAGTGGCTATTGAGGCCGGTCCACAACCTGTCGGGAAGGGATTGGTGGAAGCTTGCAGATCGTTCCCTCGGGACTGAGGGAGGAATTTGTGCAACAGATTGTATATTGTGCAGGGAGCGGGGGTGAACACCATGATCTTTCCTCACTACATGTTTTGATTATTTAATTATTTCATGTTAGTTCAGCTTTCAGCCAACATTTCAAATCTTATCAAAAGTCACTTATGAGTCTTCCTTCAGACGCAATAACGGCTTATCCTGAGGTGCTGGGGAAACGCTAACTTTCATCTCAAAGGAGCTTTGATTTTATTAATTACCGAATAGAAGTGAATCTGAAATTAAATTTTTTTTCTTTTTCTTCCTATCTCTCTGACTGATTAAAATAAAACCAATTTGTAAAATCGCAGTTTTATTCCCAGCGCCCTCCACACACTGGGACAGAAATGTTGGAATTTGTTCAGTAGTTGAGAGAGCTGAGATGCTTACTGGTTTGAATAATAATAATAATACTTGATATTTGATAATAATAAACATTTGATATAGTGCCTTTCAGAAGTCTCAAAGCTCTTCACACAATATACTGTGAAGTGAATTGTCTGTATATTTTGTGGGCGAAACACGGCAGCCAATTGCGCACAGCAGTGTCCCACAAATAGTCATGGATTGAGTGACCAGATTTTTTTTGAAGGGATTATTACTCCCAGAAAGCAATCTGCCAATCAACTAACAACTGGGTTCCTACCTACAGCTGAGTTGATGACCTTTTGTCCCGTTTGATTTCAACCTTCCAGTTTAACCATGCTTCCATTACAGCATCAAGGTGTTTCCCAAATTGCTCTCAGACAGAGGAAGCGGAGATACTGGAAGGCAGATCTCACTTGAGCACTTTGGTCGCTAGGCTCAGGCTGTGCTTGCCATGCCAGAAATGCAATGAGGTCACTTGACTGGATTTAGTGGTTGTGAAGAGATGGCTCAGGTCCGCATTGTCCTTTAACAATTTGGGGTCCAGAATAGTTTGGTGGGGTGGGGCTTCTCTGCGGGGACAATCCTCATTCCCTAATGGAACATATTCGATCTAATTTGGTTAATAGGGGTGAGTAGGCCTAACCTCGCTCAGCAGTATATATAAAAAAAACTATTTCCCAAATTAGTCCAGAGTCTCGGTCTCAACCCACCCCTTCCTGGTAATCTGTTCCAGTTGTTAATTACTCTCTGGGTAACAAACTACTTCGTGCTCTCTGCCCTTAAATTGCCCCTGAACCTGTGCCCTCTTGTTCTGCTAAGTTGGTTGATGCAGCGTTGTGTATATTGAAATGTCTCCAAAGGGCTTCACATAATAACTTACTTTAAAGTTTCTGGATAGTTCTGTAGATAAATGTGGCAGCTAATCTTTGCAGCAATGTCTCGCAAACAGCAATGAGATGGATTCATTCTGTCGAATTTGGGAACTGTTGACTTCTGGTGTAGCACTAACTGCTCCTATGATAAACCATATAAAAGCCATGTGTAAAGCTCTTTTTGTATGGCTGCCAAAACAAAAAGTCTTGTGAAATTAGTAGAACCTTTTGCAACTTTTCCTGCTTTCTGAAATCACACTGGTGCCATGTAGTCAGTAATCCTGGGCAAATTTATTATCCATTTCGGAAAACTGAAAGATTGTTTTGAATATTGTTTTCTAATTAAGGCAAAAAAATGCTCAGTTACCTCCCTTCCGCCTAACAGTATCACATATTCTGGCTTGCATTTCTACAGTGTATTTCACCATGTTTATACAATACAGTTCAGTGCAGATTTACATTTAAATAGTGTCTTTCACGTCAGGAAGACAGCTCAATAGATTTGACATCCCAGGTTTGGCACCATTGTTTATAATGATTATCCTCCTTGGGGAGAAGGTAAATGGGGTCTCCTCGGGGCTGAGCATGCTTGACAACAGGATGTCAGGATCGAATTCACCCTCTGTGACAACAAGACAAC